TTAAACTACATATATTTTTTAACAACATATAATTTTAAGCACACTATATACCATTTGTATAACTAAGGTATGCACTGCAAATATTTGGAGTTAATTGTGCGGAAAATTGAAATTAAAAATATTCGAAAACAAAATGGCTGCCCGGGTTTGGAACATTCCTCCTCTGATAAAAGATTTTTTTAAAACAAAAAGCACTTTAAATGTTGCACTACGGACATTAAATTGTGTCGTACGATTCATTAAAATGAATTATTAACATGGTAGTTTGATTTCGTCCCGTCATTTTTGACGTAATACCACTGCTATATTTTTTTCCTTTCTCGATCATTCTTGTAATTATTTATTACTTAAATTAAAACTGTTTCAATAAATTAATTTTTTATTACATTAGCCAGCTAGTATATAAAACATGACATTTATGGAGTTTATTCGTAGGGTACATTAAATATTTTGTCATGCATGTGGGGCACAACGGATAAAATGTTAATAACCTCTGATCGATACTATTTTGCAAACAACTGTGTTACGAGACGGCTAACGGTCATGGTCATCATTATCGCTCATAAAAATCAGATTACAAATTTCTCCTGGCAGAAACTAGGAAGTTCTGCCCCTGGAAGTAATCTTGGTCAGAGCAAGTTGCATGTCGTGGTTGGAAGTGTAACATTCTGAAGGCGTAAAAAGGATTTCGTGTACCTACCAAAACATAGTGTTTGAGGAGTTGCCTGACAGTCAACAGACAAATATCACATTCGCGACTTCGCTACATAAAGTTTCCTATCCGTGTTCAGTGACAAAAAAAATATTTGACATCTGTACATTGTCTAAGAGATTGTAACATTTATTCTAAAACACCTGCAAATATTTGTGTGTATTTAATATGACTAATTGATAAATACCGGAAAGTTTCCCTCTTCCGCCACAAAAATTATTTTTCCACTAAATGAAATTTAACTTCTGGCGGGAGTAATTTTTACGTACAATATTTGTTTCGTTTAGTTAATAGTTATAATTAGGAATGTAGCTTCACTGTAAACCATTTCAATAATCATTAAATGTTTCTAAGTTTAGATTCAAATATTATGAACACCGTGTTCTTAACATTTAAATAGTTATGTGCGTTGCACATCACGAAGGTGGCATCACAAAGATCCGTCTGGCCCTCGTGAGACTCTCAGTTGGACAAGTCTAATTCTCATGACATGCACGGATCTTAAAATAAGTGTCATAACACAACTTATAAGATTTTTTCGTATGTACAATGAACTCACTTTCTCTTCTTCGGCTTTATCTGACATATTGAAAATATTAACTTTCAAATATTTCCAGCACTAAGTTTCAATCTTCACGATCAGATGTAGCTCACAACTCGTAAGTAGGCATGGTTTATACTGGCAGATGGTAATATTTTATTTAGGGACATTCAAAAGCAAAGCCTCCTTTATATGAAGTTAATATTTACAAAAATTCTGAAGTGAGCCTTGAGAAAAACAGGGCAATTTACAACACGATAAAATAAAAACAAAATTAGAAGAATAAAAAAATAAAGACAGTACGATTTCCTTCCGATGTTAAAATATTATAGCTATCATTCACTGAATTGTATTTTGATTACGAAAGAAAAAAATCTTATTAAAAATGATAAATACAATTGAATTAGCAGAATAATTCGCATTCCTGCTTCTTAAGTCACACAACTCAAAATTCTCTTGCTTTCGAGATGACACCATGATTGAATTGGATACGATAATTGATAGTCACCAAAAGTACTTTTTTTTTTACTTAACTAGTGGTGCTACAGAATGGTACAGACTTTTCAGTATTAGTTTTCTATTTCCATTGGACTCTGAGTTATTCGAACTTGCCACATACTCTGGCCAGCTACCATCTATCGGGGCCTAAAGTACATTTTTACTTTCGTATACATACGTATATATGGAGTAATATACGTACTACAAGCAAAGTTACGTAATGCTGCACAAAAAAACAGGATTTTCGACAGAAAAATCATTGCCGTGCCCTGGTAGCGAAAAAGTGGATAAATCCAGTTGCTAAATTAAGAAAACATTCTCTAACACGTGGTGTAGCCATAATCCTTGTTCTGTAGGTCCTTGATACCGAAAAATCGAGTGACGGCAAATCGTCGGGTGTATGTGAACAACACTAGGGCTTTAACTAGTCGTCCGATTTTTTCCAAACTTAAAAAAAAACCTGTCGATGTGGCCTGGATCAAAGTTCTGCGATTTTGAAAAACAATCATTAATTTTCGAGGCTACTTTACAAGATGCTCCAAGGACATTTTCAAAATTTTCTCAAAAAAATGGCCCAAAATTTGTACTTTAAATTTCTTGCAAGAATAGAGTAAAATACACTTATAAAGGTGACATAGGTAAGATTTTCGCTGATTACTGTGAATTTTCGATAATTGCAACAGTATGATTTTTTTGGCTAATTCCTACAACTACAAAATTAAATGCAGACAGATTTTTCATTCAAATAAAATTTGTTCTCCGTAATTAGTTCTTTTTTCTCGAAAACAGCTGGAATTTTTTAATCTTTACACTATTGTTATGTATAGAGCTATATGTACTCTATGAAATGACCAATGCCATATTGTTTTTGTTTGCGTTTCCACAAATTAGAAAAATGTAATTTTTTTTTACTTGCCTGACACAACAATAATATTAATATTTGCGGCAATTTGTTCACAATATTGTATTTATGAGAACATGCTTGAAATAGCGGTATATAAAGTTTCTCGTTAATTCCAGTTTTCTGTGAAAACTAGCTCAAAAATTCGTATTTTCAGGAAATTTTCAAGCTCCATTTTCTCAAAAACAGCTCCAAATTTTTTCTTCAAACTTTTCAAACGGATAGTACTAATTGCACTCTTCAATATGATGTAACGTTCATTTCAGGGCACTTTTTGTTCTTCAAAAAATTATACAAATGTAATTTTTTAAAAATATCTCTCACCCTATTAATATGCTCATTTCTAAGAATTTGACAACTCTATTGCATTTGTGAGTTAAAGAGCTTTTAATAACTTTAAATGAAGTTTTTCTAAAACTCAAAAATTTTCTGGAAAAAAAGAGCTTCAAATTCCGAATTTACAGTAGCTCTTAAATGCCATTTTCTTAAAAGCAGTAAAATGCTACTGTATATTGGAAATTTGAAGCTCTTTTTCACAGAAAAGTTTTCAAAAAACTTCATTTAGAGTCACTTGAAGCAATTTACCTCACAAACACAACAGAGTTTAAAAATTCTAAGACTACTTACTAGACCAGTTTATTACTCGTATCCGGTGATACGTTCAAATGGCCAGGACCAGCAGTGCATGTATTTTCATCAGTCATTGCCCAACATATTTGTGGCATTAAGAAGTATGGTCGTATTAAGAATGTCGCAATAAGAAGTATGGTCATTAAGAAGTATTGGATCCTGAATTGAGTGCAGACTTGCTCATGTGGCAAAATATTTGCCAATTCCATTATAAGCCCCTTTCCCCTGGGAACAGAAAAGATATACTATTCATAATTCACACCAAAATCTTCTTTGTGTAAATCTTTTCTGGTTTTCATATTGTTGCTTGCTCCATCTGAAAAATATATTACTTTTTTTGACATTACCTCCAACTTGTAGAAATGTAATCAATTGTTTCTGAAAGATGTGCAACTGCGTTTGTATAATGCTCTAGGCTTTCAGAAATTGTTATTACACTTTTGGAGATTAGATGACTTTTATATTTAACATATTTATATTATTTCACATATTATATTTAACAGAAATATGTAACAAAGGGGTGAAGCGTAACCTGGTTCTGATTCCAATGTGCTCCTTGAACTGAATTTTGAATAATGATGGAATAGGATGTCACTTGCCTTAAGTTTTTTTCTTTATACCTAACACAGTGATTTTTCCAGATTTAAAGTATTCAAATTAGTCACGTCTTGGGTGCTTGATATTATTCATTCTGTAAAATCTAACACAAATTATGTAAATCCAGAAGTAAACACAGTTCACACTTGCTATGCATGGACAGAGCACTATAACAAATCAAAATATATCTGCCGGACAGAGTAGTATGTATCTTGTCCTCACACAGCTGCAGTGAAACCAAATTTACAAAAAGTTAAATACTGGCAGAAACCTTGACAAGAGCACTCATCTAGATTTCATCGGCATCTGGGCCTCTTAGTTTACGTCTGGGAGGGCCATTTGAGTTGCCTGCGCAGGGTATGCCGATGACAGAATGATGGCTTCGATTTTAGGGCCAGTTACCAACAACAAAAATTCTCCAAAGCTACAGGTTTAAAAAGAACCTGCACTCGTACCTAGCCATTTAAAAATGTTTTAAGATTATGCAGATTGTGCAGGTTACATTCCGATCTCCATTTTTCGAAGTAGTACAATATTGAAACATCCACGCAGTACACGTTGAACATGTGGCTGCGCACATGTTCAATTAATATTTTTTTAATTACATCATTTATAAATACCCCAATTTAAAATTTTGCATATTTGAAGTTCATTAAACTGAAAATATAATATTATTTTTGTGATATTTGTAAAATTGCCATTTTTATTAATAATTAAGATTTCATGAATGATTGATATTTATGAAATCCAAGTACAGTCTTAAATAACATACTGTGCTTGAGCTTTTATTTGAGACTATCCTCAGTTCTGTACGAACAATGTAGCAGGAAAAATAAAAAAAAATATTTGTTAGCGTGCACGCTTTTTCGAAAAATTTCATGCAGCATACATTCCAAAATAATTGAGTTAAATTCTAACAAAATCATCATTTTTATGTAGTTACCCTTAGAATACATTCAAAAAGTTTCAATCAATTTCAAACACCAAGGATCAAAATGGTAGGATTTCTTAGGTATTAATTTCGATCAATTTGACGTGGAACATTGCTCCCATGCTAGCTACACCAGTACGTTTCATTTGTTGGAGCTGCGAGTAGTATCATACAAAAATACAATGGTTTAAAGAACATGAAATACATACAAATTCTCATTCAACTATTTTTATTGAAAACAGAGATGTGACAAAACAAGTCATTTCATCAATAAAAAATACTGAAAATGTAAAAAATTCACATCAATTTAAACAGATACAACTTTGATTGCCACACTACTTACATTTTCATAAATTGTGTGCTTCCAAACCAGTTGAATTATATGAAAGTACAAAATCTCAGATATATCAGTTTAAAAGCAATACCTTTTAATTCTGTACATGCATTTCAAATGCATACAGATATGTTATTGCCAAATAGTTTATATCAATAGTATAACAAAATAAATAAATAAATATAATAATTTCTTTGGATATACACAAGTCATTCACTCTTAAACTCACTTCTTCTATTTGATATTCTTCTTGCTTGCCTCAATTCTGAAACTGTAGGAGATATAAATTTCCAAGCACACTCTTTTATCCATATCAGCAACTTTCGTATTGGCACTACTGGTGACTCATACTCATTTGGCACAATGCCATCCACAGAAGATTCAAAGAAACTGAATAAAGGAAACCACACACGGGTCCTATTAGAGTCACGTTGCATCAATGCCTGGTTATTAGCCAAAGTATGATAGTACAAAAAAAGCCTTGAAGTTATGTAAAAAGCCACAAAAACATCAATGGAGTAATGTTCATGGGCAGACAGAATGAAGAATATCCCGAACATATTGAGAAGCCAAGTAAAAGTGTGCACAAAATAAAGATGGCGAGGAGTATCTGTTGAAAAACAAACAAAACTTATAAATACCAAACTCAATACTTTGCAACTTTCTGATACATTACACTAACACTTCTGATTCAAAGAAACATTAAACTAATACCTCGCAAAACATTGCTCTGCACTTGAATTTTAACTGTTAATATTATTTCAAAATGATTCCTTGGTGAATTTAAAATGCAATATTGTTTAATTTTTCTAAAAGTTTACAATTAGCCAAACTAGGTACTTTATGAGCGTAATACAAGATACGTGTAAATGGCAATCAGTATTGTTTTTGCAGGCCTTCAACTAATAAACCAATATTAATATTACTAGTTATCAATAGTGGTGGCTACAAAAGTTGTTGGTTCACAAAAAAACATTACAGGATAGTCTAGTTGCTTCTGACAATAACACAGCCGTGAATGAGACTGGAACTATACTTTCTGCTGTGCATAGTACTTCAAAAAAGCCACAAACTTTCCTGTGATCAAACAGGGTGAGTGGTGCTAATCCCTGCCCTTTGGGATCTTGTTATTGGCCCACAGAGTGTGTGGGTGTGTGTGTAAAAGCTTTTTGATCTGACTCCCCACTCCCCAAATCCGGTCTTTAAGATACTAACATCATGAACAAGTACACCCCCAATGCCCTGCTGTCCACTGCTTGAAGCCAAAGGCTTGTCACAGCTTATACTTAGTATTTTAGTATTGCATTTCCCAAGTAGCAATGTGGAGTAAACTTCGGCTGCTCCAATGCAAGAATTTGGGCCAGACCGCTTGCGGTGGTCCACTGCAGTTGCCAGAGTGGCACATGCCTTTCACTAGACTTCAGCTGATTCCCTTAGTCATCTACCCCCCTCTCTCTTGCCTCGCTGACTCAATTGACTGCCTGCATTGGGTCAGGGGATGCCAAGTTGGCCACCCACTTGAGCAGCCTTGCAGATTATCATTTATGATTTGCCAATAATGCAAGAAAATTAGTACGAATCAAGACTCGGGAGAGTAATACAAAGGAAACATGCATTTTAAATATAATTAAATACCGTATTAAAAAAAAAAAATGCTTGGATTATAGTGGAAGCATACAACAATTCATTTGTGCCACCACTGGTAATTAAAACTATAATGTTTGAATGAAGATATAAACATTTTGCAAATGAAGATCTGAGTTACGGTCTTCAATAGAGAATTAATTATTACTACTACTGCAAGACATGGTTCAACAATTTTCTGGACTTTTCATTAATGTAATTTGATATACTTACATTCTGTAATAAAAAAATTCAACATTGTAAGGGCAACTGTGTGTCCACTGAACATATAATCACCACAGGTGCGCACACCTTGAATTGACATTCCAGCACCTCTCCATATTATATAGGCATGTTGTATTTTGGCCCAAAGTTCCCCATATTTACGCACTTCACTATCCAAGGTTCTTGGATTGCATTGCAGATGAGTACCAGGGACTGACAGAGAAGTAATAAGCATAGTAACACAACGTAAAAGGAACACAGTTCCAGAGAGAGCAAAGAATCTTCTTAACAATATGAACCTGTAAGAAAAAAAGAATGATACATAGTATGTATAGAGTGAAGATATGAATTTTATCACTGGCACAAAATGCAAAATGCACAATAATAGAGAAACTTCTTTTTATCAATATTGAACATTTTGTTTATGTAGTAGGAAGAGTTGATGGGTCTATTCATGAAAAGATAGTCTCGCTTTAGAGAAATACATTTGTTTCAGCAATATTCCAGTGTCATTATCTAGAATCTGTATAATATCCACAAAGTTTGCAAAATATCTTCCACTATTCAAGTCATCTCTTGATTCAACAAACAACACGCAAGGGACACTTTCAGTTATGAGGAAAATATAAAGTTAGGGGGAACTAACTTCATATGTTCCCCATAACTGAAAGTGTCAGAAGTGGTGGATGATCCAACATTTTATTGCACAACCTTAGTTTCCACAGAGAAAAATACTTGAATTGTTCTGCTAGGATTTGTATTCTGCAAACCCAAATTCTTATCACACAATTTGTCATCTAATTTAAAAAAGAATATGCTATTATTTTCCTTTATTATTTTTTTCCTTTTTCATGATAATAAACAAGATCTCTTTTGCATCACAAAAACAGACACCATGATCTTTCCTTCTGATGAAGTAGACCTGACTGAATGGCGCAGCTTTAAGTAGAAACAATTTTTCTAAAATTCCTAATTATCATTATCTGCTTTGTTTGCAGCCATCATATCATAGTTATGGAATCGTTAGTCATGAACACAGTCCCACAGAAGTCAGTTTGTTGAGGTTTCATATGACTTGGATCATTTGTTTGGAAATTTGAGCCTTCAATCATTTTTTTGGACTTTACTAGAATTGGACAAACCAAGATGATATATTTACAATTACGATTACGATTTACTTTTCCTTTATCTTTTTTCTTCGCAGGTGGAAATAAAATCTTCAAAAGGTAAAGAGCAAATCAGGTTTCTCAACAGTGTGGGATTACCCCATACCAGGCGACCGCACTAAAAATAACCACCTGTTTCTTCGTCTGACCCCAACCTGGAACCGCTTTCTCATTACTTTGGGTTGGGGTCTTTCTTTCTTGAAGAGTGTCCCTGCGTTTGTTCCATCTTATAAGTTACAGTTGTCTAAGCAGCCTTCATACTCCTCTGCCTACAGGATGCTTTCTATAAAATTGGAGATTGCGCTTGAGGACTTCTCATTTCTCAGCATGACTTCGACAGTGTTCTCTGGCGTGAGGCTTCCTCCAGCCCATCGCTTTCTTTTCCCCAGTTTGTTAATTGGAAAATGGTGCGCTTGGTGGTTTTTAGTTTATTTCCACAAAATTTGCAGTATGGTCATTTAACCTTTCACATGCAGTAGATGTAGTCTCTGAAGTAGCCGTGGCCTGTAAGGAACTGGGAGAGGAAGAAATTTCCTTCACCAAACTCCCATTGCATCTATGGTGACAGTTGCATGATGAGCCGGGACGTCCATCTCCCTTTGGTCCCTAAGTTCCGGGTTCCTGTCAGTGCTCCATTGTCCTTCATCGTTCCTCTTGTGTTGCTTTTGCTCTGCCTTCAACTGCACTCCTATCATAGATTCGCTTGCTCTCCAGCATGGGCAGGTCGATAGGTATTTCTCCACCGATCACCAGGATAGTGTCTCTGCACTCCCCTACGGTGCACCGCTGTGATCTGTGTTTGTATTTCTTCAGTCACCTCTTTGGACCAGAATTCAGCTTCATATAGTAGAATTGACTGTACTGTTTACATCAGGAGTCTCCTTTTACACGATCGCAGGCCGTCTTCATTAGCCATCAGCCTGCTCAGTGCTGCAGTTTCGTTGCAGCTTTGTCAGCAGTCTTCCTTGTGTGAGGCAGTAGGTCAGCTTTGTGTTCAGAGTCACCCCCAGATTTTTTGCAGACATATCGGTCAAGTCTTTCTCTTCCCACTTGCATGGGTAGGATAGTTGGGGGTTTTCTGGCGATGACCACGATCTCCGTTTCAGCAAGTGCCAGTTGTAGACCGTGACATTCCATTCGTTGACACGTCTCATCACCTGGTTTAGCAGGAGCTGAGCCAGCTCAAAGCTACGGGCTTGTATAACGGCCCAGGAGAGTGTCTTCTGGCATCTCTGTCCTTAAGAGGCTGTCATAAACTGAGTTCCAGAAATATGGGCTTAAGATCTACCACTGTGCCACACCAATGGTAACTGGCATGGATTTCTGTTCAATTGTTGTCATGCATAAGAGGGAGAGGCCCTTGAAGTAGCCCCTTACCATTCGGGTAAGACATTTGGGAACTTCGAATGTGGTTTCTAGTGCCTCCAGAACATCGATTCACCTAGACGTGTTTCAAGCATTTTTAATATCCAGGGGCACAAGGATAACAATTGGACGGGTCTACAACTCTAATAACTTCCCGTATGGCTATCATAGAGCCTTCTTCTGAATTCGTGCTGTTGGTCAGACATATATCCTGCAGCTTCAATAGCTGCAAGTAAACGCGGCTTTAAAAGTCTCTCCAGCTATTCCAAAGTTTCCCCCGCTATATCTAACATGCAGAGAGGGATGCACGCTGATGGTGTGTTTGTATCGCCTTTGCCCTTGCTTACGAGAGCCAAGCGTGCGATTTTCCAGCGAGTGCCAAAAACCTCTGCAGGTATTGTTCATGATCAAAAACAATCATGGGAATGTTTCCACAATTGCCATAAAAAATTCCGCCTGGTAAACCATCTGGTTCTGGCACCTTGTTTTTGAGAGAGCATACTGGCGCTACCACCTCTTCTTTGCTGAAGGTATGTGTCTCAATATTCCTCGGCTCACCTTAGGCTTCGCTTCTAACTGGGAGCGGTGGGAAGAGAACTTCAATTTGTTAGAGACCTTTTCCTCCTCCTTTGCAAGACACATTAATTCATGTTGTAACATTACGCATTGTAAGCAACCTTCTGGTTTTTGCAGTCCATGGTTGAAATTTCATGCTAAATTCCAACCACCAGTCCAAAGCCATTCTTGGCTACAGGCACTGCCAAACTAACTACATTTTGCAGAAATATTATTTTGGTTCAGAAGAGACTGCAGGATGAGTCTTCCTCTTCTTCTTCTTTTCCTCTTCTGACAATTCTTCATCTTCTTCTTACTTCTCCCACCATAACATCCAAAAAATAAAAGAAACAACCTATGGTGTGAAAAAGAAGATAACGCAAGTGTTGAATATTGAGAGATTTTACAAAAAAGTTGTTTAAGTGTACTGTTGCAAACATGCTTCAGGTATTTTATACTTTCAAGAGTAATTAAGAAAGTATTACTGAAGAAACCAAACTTCACTTCCTTGAAAACAAAATTAATGCAGGTATCTGTTTCCCATATTTTCATTACTTTGATTAAGCACTCCCATACTAATGGCCATTTTTCTTTGAAACCATCAGTGGCCGTTGAAGACATATTTTACTCTAATTTGACTTGGCATTAAATCTTTCTTTTCAAAGTGCACAATTTTCAATATTATCCTAAGTGTACATTTATACTACTGATGAAGATAACTGCATATCATTATATAGAATGGCATCAAATATCACATTACAAATGCTTATAGTACATGCACCTACTTTGGATACAAAAAATGGTTTGGCGTTGACCTCTATAACTGAAGCTGAGAATTTCTTGGACCACCATTGCACTCTTTTACCATAATTCAAAAAGTATATGAATGGATTTTTAAACACTTATCGTCAGAAATAAAGGAATATAATCAATTATCCCCTGCTCCAAGAAAGGCTCAGATGAATGGAAATCTTAATTACAAAAATGTTTAAAGTGTTTGAATATGCATGTAATAAAAGAACAGAATCACTATGTACTTAACACCTGCATTATTATATATAATAACATGGGTACAAAACAAACAAGGGAACCATTTACAATTCTTTCAATTTGATTCACAGTATCTCAAGAACAATAGGAAACTTACCTATGCTTATGGAATGTAAGAACAATGAGCCAAATAAAGAGCAACAATGTTCCTGTTAATTCACACATGTGAAATGCCCATGGAATGTGAGGCACATTATCAAGAAATATATCAGGCAATGGAGGATATTTTTTCATATCTGGCACACGGTCATGAACCACAACCATTACGAAGGCTGTAATCCATGTTACTACAAATAAATATCCCAAGCTTATCAAGGCTTTCCACACTTCTGGTTGCAATTTTGTTGCTCTTCCATCTTCTGAGAGAGGAGGTGTACTATGATGGTGTTCTGAGTCCATGAAGAGAGGTAAATCAGCTCCCTGCGCAATAAAGCTTGTCATTAGTATAAATGTATTTTGTAACTACTTCATAAGACATCAGATTGGAATAAGTAAGAAAACTTTATTTTATTTTAAGGAAGCACTGACTGGTAAAAACTTATACAGAATTCGTTTTTCTTGGAGAGAATTAAAACAAAATCGAACCAAAGAATTGGCAAGAAAATCTTTGCATACATTAATATCTCAGAAACTTCATGAAATGAATATCATTTTTAAGTACAGAATTTTTTGATAAGATTTTTGCTGCAGCAAAATGAGATTTATACCCATGGTGACATTAAAAAGTGTGTGTGTGGGAGTACGAGTTTTTAGGTAGCTTTACATGGAAATAAAGGGTGTTAGATTTGTGTTACAAAATGTTGATATTAAAGAAAATAATTCAATAGTAGATGAAATTATTCCTTTTATTCAGTCTTAAATGAAAACATAAATAATATTAACAAATTAAATTTAAAAATAACAGTAAATTAAAAAGTGAGGATGTATAAATTGTTACAAGAAATGGAAATAAATAACAACAATGTTACATTGATTGAATTAGTTAATTATGAAGAAAATATTCAAAAGTGATCGGAGGTATATTTGATTCCAATTAAATTGGTGCAGTAAGACTCTTGTCTCTTGTTTCACCCACGGCAGTTTGTACATTGCTTACCGTATTTACTAGATTATAAGCCAAGCCCAAGAAATACTGAACAAAATAGAGCAAAAAAAAAGGAACTTTATTTATTTAAACATTAGAAACACATTTGATACTTAATGCACTCAGTCCACTGATTACTAGAGATCATTGAATCAGATGACTCAGATTCTTCACTGGACTCTGCTGTCAAGGGCATTGAAATTCAACACTTTTTAAAAGCGACAACTTCTTTGGGAATACTCTTCCAGGTGTCATCTGCCCACGCGCATACTTGTGTTAGACTAAAGATCAAGATCATTGAAAAAGAATAATGGGGTTGGGCCCGGGCAAGAATAATGGTGAGCGGAACCACGTGCGTGTCATGAGTAAGGCAATGCCTTTTCACCCTGTCACCAAGTTCAATCAATTATATATTTCAAATTAATATATGTAGTGGCTTCATGCAGATTTTATCCGTACTCGTTGGCTGCATGGCCGACGAAAAACAGATATCTCTACGGATGTCTGGTGTCTGGTAACCACGCTAGCCTTATTTCATAATCTATCTTTACAGCAATGCCATTGTGGTCTTGAGAGTGAGAGTCTAGTCACTCCCAAACCCGCTTGATGCCTACACAAATATGGTTATGCAGCCCAGTGGGGAACACAAGTCCACTTATTTCCCAACTCTTTTTCAAAACACGCGCCGTTCGGAAGCCTCGATTACAGTCCGCCGCCAATGCCATTGCATTGGCACAGGCATCCGCATAGGCAGCCCGCGCACACTCAGGAAATGTGATCGAGCAAAGGGCATCGGTGGCTGTCGTCGGGCAGCAGGGGAAGAGGGGGACAAGCCGGGCGGCGATGCAGTTGCACAACACTCGGCTATAGAGCACAAGGTTTCAAGAGACCTGAGGGGGACACGGAACGAAGACAGTGTGAGATATATATCTCCACTTCAATTAGCTCTCATCCCTTCCAGAGCTGTTCTTCGCTAGCGCGCGAATCGCGTACGCATTGCTCTGAAGTGGTGCATTGAAAAGTATTGTGTTAATTGAATGTTTTTCTTATGTTTTAAAGCGAGTAGCAATTACAAATCAATTCCGAAAAGTGTGTAAACCCACACGTATTTTGTAATGTAAACGTATGTAGTAAACTACTTTTCTACGCGTTTTCAAAAACCAACGTTAGTGTTCGTTTTTCGGTCCAGTCTGTTTGTCTAACAACGAATAGCTTCGAAAAAATTAAAATGACATCAATGAAAAAATTACAGAAATATTTGCGGAAAAGAAACAGTGTTTACTGAACACAGACTTTGTGTATCGTCATTCAATTAGACAGCGATCTCTCCGGATTTTTTAAGTATTTAGTGTAGAAACTTGTACTCTTAAACTTAAATTTGTACGAGTGCGAGTAAAAACGTTTCGAATCAAAGAGCAAACTAGAAGTCTTAACAGCCTTTGGCTCTGACGTGTCGGGTCGTAAATATTTCGGAGGGTCCTTGGGAGGGCCGAGCAACGTCGAAGCGGGTGTTGTGAAAAGAAAGCGGCCAACCCTCATTGCTAGTGAAAGAAACTGTTCAGCATGTTATCAAACTGCATAATATGCCTCGTGTTTAAATGGCATTATTTATTGTAATAATGAATATAGTATATGCCTGTATGTACTGTCGTGTGTGTGTGTGTGTGTGTGTGTGTGTGTGAGAGAGAGAGAGGGTGGGGGTGGGGGGCGGGAGGAAGGGAGCGTGAAGAGAGACGTTGTACGCCCAAATAGCAAGACCGCGAACCTAACAGTGAATAAAGAAATCAGATACAGCAGTGCGGCTTAAATGTGGGTCGTTAACTGATAGCGCGCGGCACAATTTTGGCGATTGCAGTGAAATAGTTAAATTATTCGAAGCAAGGTATTGGATAAATATTTACGGAGCTACGGCTATTTGAAAAATGCATATTTATATTTTTTTTAACGTAAAATTGGCTATATTCGGACCAGTGTGGCACGCTATTTCAGTCAAATAAGTAATGTCTGATGATAGTAAAATTGTTGCGGGATAACGTGGACGCCACCATGTGTTATAATTGACTAAATACATTTTCTTTTATCGTTGAAGGCGCACGTATTATGAATGGATGGCCATAGTAAACAATTTGATGAACATTTCTTTTTTATTTTCTAATCTTCAATTAGAATATTCCGTGTATCATATTATCTGCGGCCCGATGTGATAACAATAAGCGGCATCCACTACATAAATAAATTATTATTATTATTATTATTATTATTATTATTATTATTATTATTATTATTCGCGTATGTGCCACTACTGACCACGCAACACATTTCTCTCTCCGAGGCCCAGTTGTATTCTACACTGGAGAGATAAATGTGTGGAATTATGGCCATCATACGTGGTACCTCGGCAATAATTACTAAATTATATCACTATTTCTATTGCATTAATAATTAAATTGGAGCGCGATCCGGACCTAAAATTTTATAAATCAAGCACTATATATACAAATTAATCTTATATGTGATTAATTTCAATTTCGCAAACTTCAAGATCAAGAAAGCTTTCTTAAAACGAGAATATCAATTTAGGAAGAGAAAAAACCTTCACAATTTAGGCACTCTTTTTTTCAGCCTGGCAGACGTTACAAACTCAAGGGCTCACAAAACGCGCATTTTAGTCAAAATATTGAGATTGTTTTCGTATTACACAACTTTCTACGTATACAATACAATAATTAAAAAGGGAACCCAAAGTCAGACCCAAACTGCTGAGAATAGGGGCCCAAGGTTGCAATGACCTCGTTTGCAGGGCCCAGTTAAGTACCAAAGAACTGAAAATAAAAGATACGATAGAACGTGCCAAGATTCGCACTCAGGGCGTGCGACAGAGAGCGATGCTTTCACGATCCAGATGTTCGGGATACCTCTGACTCACGTGGGTCCCTGAATACATCAGGACTGTCGCCACAGAATGCTGCCGCACTCAACGGATGGAGGACAAAATTGTCCGGTTTTCAACGCACCCACCGATCACCCGAATCTTTTTTCAATGCATTTTCAAGAGTAGGCTGAACAAGATTTTAAAACTTTAAAACGTGTCCAAACGAAGTAAAACGAATTGACAACTCCCTAAACTAATCAATACCTTATACATAGCAAAAATGTGTTTACTTTCTCGCATACGTACGTGTATACGAAGTAATGGTGTACACACACACACACACACACACACTTTTACGCATATTTTGTCTAATAAACACCTTCGATATTTCGAATGGCTGAGCCGCAATAAGCCCTCACATGTTGGTTTGAAAAAATTCCTTCAATGCAAAAATTTTCATTTCAATAACACAAAAACCCCAAAAATGTAAATTATTTACAAAACGAATCTATACATTCACAAAGAAAACTTAACAGAAATTAAACTAGTGGGGCTGGAAAAGCAAATACTTTCTCGCAATGTTTCTAAACGCTCCGCAATATTATATTGACTTAATGTAACATACGTTTTACAAATGGGACAAGAGAGTTATACACTTGTTTAAAATTTCAAAATACGAAAATGACATACAGATACTTTCAGTTTATTTAGATATAAATGTAATAGATTCTGTATGTGAGTAGAATTGCTTTCTGCGCCAACAGAGAGTTGTATTAAATAAATATCCCCGAGCCAGGCTCGAATCAGCGGCGCTTCCCTCCGGAACGCGGATTCCAAACCCGACATTTACCCACTTCGGCCACCCGCGTTATACAGAGAACTGGAACTTCTATAACAGTCATACGCACTAAAAGACAACAAATGATTTGTCCAGATATACGTTTTACAGATTCAGTAAGAGATGTGGAAAATTGTTGAAAAGGTGAAAATTCGAAAATCACATACATACACTTCCAGTTTATTTATCTTCATTCAATTTGTGATTAGAATCGATTCAAATGGTTTTCAATAAAGTTTATTAATTCTCAATTATTTTCTGCGTCAACAGAGAATTGTGACATAATATTCACCGTTCAAGACTTGAACCAGCGAACAATTTCTCCTAAGAGCTGACTCCGTAAACATCAACCCAGACAGTACATGGATTTTACAAGTGTATAATGGTAGTAAGCGTATGGTGGTTTCAGTTCTAGCATTAGGAAGCCGAAAAATCGAGAAAATATGAAAAAATGTCCTTTGGGCGACCAAAGCAGGTATCGGGGAACAGATCAGTCACAACTGAAATCTTAGTTCAGACTAAAGGGATTAGAAAAGTAAATGCTGCGAGAAAGTCTAAGCCATTCTATAGCACCGCTAGTTTATTATTTATTTATTTAAATAGCTACAACAAACTTTTTCTAAGGC